CTTTCGCCCAGCCGCGAGTCTGCGCACTGTCGCTCTGCTCCCGCGACCTTCCTGCCTTGCTGTCCGCCTGTCCCTTCTGCTCCTACCCACCCTCCCTCTTGCCCAGCCTCCAAGCCCAGCTCGGTGAATGGACTTGACCTTGGGAAGTGGAGCGGCCGGACGAACTCTCGGAAAAGTTTCACTGTCACTTATGCGATTCGTCGCCGCGGGAGCCCCTCGTGATGCCTGGCCCTTCTGAAATGAAAAAAAAGTACCTCCATCCGTACAATAATGCAACAGGCTGAGACCCAGCTACAGGCTGCGCTCGGTTTCGAGTTTAAAAATGCATGAATTCGATGTCTTAAAGGCAAAACACTTTAAGGTGGTATCTTGTGTTGAAAGTCCAGCCATTCAAGGCACAAATGTTACCACCAGAGGCCAATCAGAAGAGCAGACTCAAATGTGAGCTTTAAAAAGCTTTTTGGTTGCCTGCTATCTCTGCGGATAATTTCATAAATCCCTATCACGCTGAGCGCGACGTTTTTGTAACATTTAATTAAAATGGATATATGAATATATATATTGATAACTATGAAAGTAAAGAATAAAAACAAAAATGTTATTTCCTGAAATTAAAAATTCAGGCGTTATTTGAATTAAAGCTCAGTCCTTTAAAAATAAGTCAGTAATGACAAATAGCCTCACTACCTTTATAACGCAAAGAATCTTATGCCCAGCTTGAAACCCTGGTCCGATCCTGAAGGCCTAATGAAGGGTAGCAGGACACTGCTGGAGATGGTGCTGGAGGAAGGGCCCCCTTAGGCTGGAGGTGACTCAAAGTGTGACTGACCGAGGGGGGCGCTGCTTTCTCAGCGTGCAGTCCGGCACGTGACGTGAGTGAGGGAAGCCTGCGGGAGTGGAGCCTTCAGGATCTTCACTTACTGACGGGGAGCAACTCAAGAAGACACCACTGTAAAATCTGCTAATTTTTGCAATGTGGGAAATATGAATCTAGGAAATTTGGAATCTGTCAAAGTGAAATGGAACACATAAAGATCAATATCCTAGTGTGAGGTCCAGCCCCACATCCGGATGGATCCTCTGGGACAGTTGTGTAATTCAAGGGAAGAAATTAAGAGGCAGACGAAAGCTTTAGGGTCCTCATGTCCATTGTATCAGGGCCCAGGTCCAGGAGAGAGAGAAAATGTATTCTTATATCAACTTATATAGTCTCGGGCATGCAAATCCCCCTAATACAGGTGTGTTAGTCTGGGTTGACTAGAGAAACAAATCCAGAGACACTCATATGTATATAAGACAGAGCTTTATATCAAAGAGTAATTGTATATTAAGAAAACATCCCAACCCAGTCCAGATCAAGTCTATAAATCCAATATTA